CCCTTGGTTTTTAAACCATAACTGTCACTCTCCAAAAAGGCCAAGAGTGACAAACGTGTATTGCTGCATTTCCCCTCTTCCCAGTTTAGTGTTGTCTGTGAATACTACTGCATACACTACACAGGAAGCTTAATGTCTATCTGTACCAAACATGTGCCATACTAAGCAAATTTCGTACTAAAGGGACTGAAAATACTCTGACAAACTGATCCACTTGGACTTGATTAATGAAATTGACCATTAACTCCTGTGAATTGTTCCCCAGGAAGACAAGATTTGGGACAACCAGCACTGTTGTTTTACATGTAAGTTCAACCAACTGAAATTAACGGGGGGGTTGATTCTTTTTTGCTTTGAATTATGCCCCTTATTGTATCTTCATTTTCAGGTAACCAGAGCTGTGCACTCAAGGTTTCCAGTTTCAATCTCACCATAGACAATTGTAGTACTGTCATACAGATGCCTGTATGCCGAGGCCAGTGTGAGTCTCAGCCCAGGTAAAAGCAATCTACTGATCACTAGCAGTAGTTCTCACATTCCAAAGCATGTAGTGTTCATACTGAAAACTTGCCAAAAGCTGTCATCCTGAGTGAATGACAGACTTCCCTGAAATATTGAGTCTGCATAAGCCTAGAGTAACATCTGTTTTTCTCCCCATGCCTGGGCTCATGGCAGTGTGGTGTTAAGCAATGACTTGCTGGTGGAGCAGAAGAGTAAATGCTGTCCAGAGCAGAGCTCAGAGAGGAGATCCGTGATCCTGCGGTGCTTGGACCTCACTACTAGACACTACACCTACAAGCACATCACCAGCTGTGAGTGCAGTCTGAAGTATACTGCTCTGAAAAGTAGAGGGTAGACCAGAACAAGTTCTGTGTTCTGAATCAATGGCTTTAAATGTGGTAAATAACTTGCTTATTTGACCCGGTAACTTAACTAATTGCTAATGTTTGTAGTATGCATCTTCTTTCAGTGACTTGTCAGTTTGTTCCACTCAGGTCTTTTCAGCCTATGTGCCTCAATTTCTCTTGCAGAACAAATTTAAGCTTTTCACTAACAGAGTTGGACTTGGTTTGTATGAGATGGGAGTAAAAAAAAAAGTCAATGTAGCTTTTTAGGTTCCCTGTTTTTTTTTTGTTTTTTTTTGGTGGCGGGGTAAGAGAGAAACACTGAAATTACAAACACTACTCCCAAATCAGGATTACTTTCCCTTTATTTGCTCTCTGAACTGTACAGCAAGTTCATGAACAGTGGGTGCCAAGTATATGCACCCAATAATCACATTGACTCTACCACATTAGGTTCAAAAATCACTAAGACTTGAAAGTATTTCGTTCTAACACAACATTCACCAATGGTGCAAGAAGTCCGGATCCTTTTAAGTAGCAGTAGCTGACAAAACTTAAAGCATTAACTTTTACTTTAATATTGACAAACTAAGGTACTAAATAAACCCATGTGGAGTGGCACATTTAACGGTGTATATGATTTGACTAGAATGGTGCATTATGGTCATCCATTAAATGCTGCAGCTGCTAAAGGGAGAGCAGCTTTACCTTATGCTTTGAATTTATCAGGGAATTGTACTGTTTTGAAACTGAAGTTGTACATGATGTGCCTCTATTAGTTTTCTGCCATTTCATACTTTTAAAAGTATAGATGCCTCAATTTGTCCTTAAGAGCCATATTTGAGTAAATGTACTTTACACAGCTGAAACTGACCATTCCAGAGAACCCTTTTGACAAGTGCAACTGTAAAATCAGCTCCACATGGGTTTATTTACTTAATTTAATAATTAACCTCTGTAATCATACCTTGAGGTAACTGCATTAGCAAACTTGTGCTTCGTTCTTAAAGGCCTTTAAATCACAAAATGGTATCTAGCCATACATAGCTGATTATTTTAAATTGACAGGTTGGTGCCCCTGTTACTGTAGTTGTAGTGGAAGGTGTTGTTGCAAGTTTTGGCCAGCTTCATGCTGCTGTTTTGCTCAAGGGACATTTGTGAGGCATGTTTAGAGAATGACATGCAATTATATTTGATATCATTCTGGAATTTTCCAAGCTGTTCAACGGAACATTGTATGTAAACCTCTGACCCACCAGACTTGTGAAATCTATCTGTAAACTAGAAATTGTTTTGGCAAGTTAGGA